ATCAATGGTTGTATTATTAGTTAATTTATTTTAATTTATTATTTATAATATTAATATTCTACATAAGGTTATATTTCACCTAAATTTATGATTTTTATTATTTAGGTTGGCTAATTTTCTTTTCTTTAATGTTTCTAAAAGTATTTTGCCTATTTTAATTATTTGAAGTGCTTTAATCCAAAAAATATCTTCATACAATGTATATTCAATATCACATACATATGTGTTGTTAAGTGATTAGTACACATTTTATTTTGCATCATATCTGTGTAAATTTTAACTAAATTTTTTATACATATTGCTTGGTTATGACCTATAATTAAAAAAATTAAGAACTATTGATTATAGTTGACAAATATTTTAACTCCACAAGTAAATAGTTTTTTTTACACTTCCTCAAAATGAAATATAATGAATAATCAATTATTATTTAAACTTTAATCCTTACTTACAAGTATATTTAAAATTTAAGCATTTACCATTAGGCATGTTATAATATTAACATTAAATACATAGTTCACTATTAACTTATATTGCATATAAATCATATCCCTAATAGTTACAAAAAAACATTTTTAATTAGCTTACCATCTCCGGACGAACAATATAAATCATTATCTTCTTCAATTGTTTGTCTTGACACATTATCCCTAAATGCCACAGCTTGCAAGGCACATATCCAGTCAGTCATTTCTTGTTCAGAGTTTGCAGCAAAATGATGAACACCGGTTTTTGTCCAAACCTATATCATATAGATAAGGAAGTAATAATATTATTCAATATAAATAATATAATGCACTAAAAGTTGAATTATCTCTCTAAAAATAATCTAAGTAATATTATTATACTAAAACCATACAAAGTATAATTTGTCATACATTGGATTGTATAAATATGTATGTGTATAATATGGTTTGAAATTATACTCATTGAGTTATAATGTGTAGTCTCTGTCTTAAAAACGTCCAACATGGCAAATTTTTGTTAAGTTAAGTACCTATTTGGTATTGTTTATTTGAAAGTGAATTGTTCTATGTTCCAACTTAAAGGTAAGAACATTATGTCTGTTCTTAACAATATTGAAAAGATTTTGGTTTTTAACAATATTTTAATTTTTAAGCCCGGTATGAGCATTTTTATGTATTGACATTTTACATACTCATATCTCACTTAAAAATTAAAATGTAATAAGAAACCTATTAGGGAATACAGATAATGTTCATAACTTTAAGTTTGATAATAGATCAATTCACTCTAATATTAAATCGAACAATACAAAGTTGACTCTGTTGTATTCAAAATTGTATATTATGTTTTATCATTTAGAGACAAAAAAAATATGTATACGTTTTTTTTAGTCATGACTATAATTACTTTGTAAACATTTACTATAATAATATCTGAATTGCAATTGTACAATAGCTTCAGACATATCATGTTTCCTATTAAAATGTATCTACATTTTAAAAAAACAATTGGGCAACTTTGTAATTCATAATTTAATATATTAATTCATAACTAGAATATTAAATTTAAATAAAAAAACTATAACATAATAAGCAATTAATTAAATATAAGTATTCAATTATGTATTTAATGGCGTTCAGTAGGTTAAAGGCATTTTTGACTTAATAACTCTTAATTGTGAACAATTATCAAAGTTTAAATAAATTGATAACCATTAATTAACTCTAACATAAGAGTAATCTTAATATCCTAGTAATTATAATTATTGAAAATTACTTATTATGTTATTAACCTTTACTATAATTTCTAAATAATATTTCAATGATAAAGTAGCTTTAAACATCAATTTTCCTATGCAAAATTGTAACTAGGTACATATAAAAAAAATGTTGTGCATTTTTGTAATCCATAATTTAATACATTAATTCATAACTAATATATTAAATTTAAATGAAAAACTAAAACATAATATAGGCAGTAAAGCTATTAACAAAATATCAGTATTTAAATAAGTAATTATCCCTAAATTAGTATAAGTACTATACATTTAGATGAAACTAATTCATATTATTCATATTTTTTAGAATATAAAACATCAAAAGACAATATCAAACTGATTCTGTCTAAAATCATCAAGAAATTGTTATAAGCAGGACTTGGGACTTAAGCATTTGCTTATTTTTAAGGTTTGACATAAAATCTAACTGAGTCCTATGGAAGAGTATGTCATGTTACAAAACGTTAAATAATTTGAAAGTACTTTTTTGCAAATCTCTACTTAATTATAATTTATGTTGGAGTGTGCCACTAAAAAAAACATTAACATTTTAGTTAATTTTTGTTTTATTGTGGTTCATGGTAAAGCTAAAACTAAATATAATTGTTCTGCTTTGTATCATATTTTCTTGTAATAAACACCGGGACCCATATTTGGTAACTAATCTACAAACTGGCTAAATTAATACATTTTTTTTTGTCAGTTATTATTAAACAATTTAAAATAATTTTTTCAGAAAATCTATAAGAAGTTTAATAAAGAAGTTTAAATGTTTTCAAAATCTAAAAATTAAATGATAATATGGAAAACAATTGTGTTATAGTTTTTGTTGTGATTTTTTTTACTTATTTTAATATTTTTAAGTGCTTATTTGAGTGCTTATAATGAAGTATTTAAGTGCTTTTTTCAGCGCTTGTTTTGATGATTATAACTTATAAGTGCTATAAGTTCCAAACTCTAGTTATAAGTGTTTTAAATTTAAATTAACAAGGTCTACATTATTGTACATTATAAATGTATTTGTCAATTTTAAATATTAGTTTATAAAAGTAATGAAAAAAATATATATTCTTTTATTTAGTATTTATTTAATAATATTTTTATATTATATGAAGATGCCTTCAATTTACTTTTGAATAACATATACTATAAAGCTGTTCTAATTATAAAAACATTACCTACCTATAATGAAATATTCATAATAAATATTGATAAAGAAGTAATAATAAATTCTCTATTAACATAATTTATATTTTTATTGAGTTTAATAAGTGCTTGGTAACACATTACAACAGTCATTAAAAGATTATTTTAAACAATTTATGATAGTATTTTTTTTTCTTAATTAATGGAAGTAGGTAGTTAAAATAAAAAAGTATTTAATTACTTGTGTATTTATTGATACTCAGCCCATCATTGATATAATATTTCAAAGAATTCAAGAAAGCAACTAACTTTAAGTTTTAAAATCTTTCTAAACTGATAGAAGTTTTTAAATATAAATAAATTCTTGCTAAAATTAAAAGTTAATCAATAGCTAAGTTAAATTATTAAACCTTAATATGAATAAAATACTTTGTCAAACTAAAAATTCATTAAACCAAACATTACAGGCATATTATTTATAAATATATTTAATTTAATACTAAATATAAGTACCTACTAAGATCTAGATTTTTAAAAATATGGGCACATTTTGAAATTTAAACACATTTTTATAATGAAAAGCACATAGGTACCAATAAATATATTTAATTTAATACTAAATATAAGTACCTACTAAAATCTAGATTTTTAAAAATATAGGCACATTTTGAAATGTAAACACATTTTTATAATGAAAAGCACATAGGTACCATAATTGTTTTGATAAAATAAACCGGGACTCGAGCTACGCCTTTACTTACTTTAGTTATAGTACCAATGTTAAAATATTGTACAACACACTAAAACACACTATAAATATAGGTACTTATGTCTATACTCTATATACTCTATTCAAGTTAAGTGTACACTGGTTTGCGCATAATATGCTACCCATGATTGATCATTCGGAAACAATTGTACGCTTCCGTTGTGCGTACAAAAACGATTGTTACCGACCGTACGCTGTGTCTTTATTGCCGCCTCTGTCGCTGTGTATCAGTGGTGGGGCGCCATGTGTGAACATGACGTGTTTTTGTTGGCCGCCCAGTGTACTCTTAAGTTGAATAGAGTATAGTATTTATTATACTTGCCTAGTTTTCATATCTTTACTTAATAACATTTTAATAAAAGCAATCAATTAATATATTTTGAAATTAATTTGAAATTATTTATGTCTCTTCTGTTTAGTTAAAAATGTATTGCAGGCCTCATAATATGAAATATCTTGGGCCATAATTGTGTTATTACTATGATATATTATTATATATATATATTGCTATGATAATATTCATAGATAAATTGATATTGAAAAATAGTAGGCATCTGCCTAAATTTAAATTATAAGCTTTTAAATATTAAGTTATTTTAAGATTTAAATATTAAAATGTATTGTGAATACATGATGAGTTCAAACATATTATCTTACTCATTACTTATCATTACACTATTAACTGTTTATTAATTAAATACATATAAAATAGTATTGATTGACTTACCGCGAACACATTAGGTTGATGCTTTTGAGCATCTTGTGTAATTTTTACACAGCTTTCCAAGGGTATTATTGAGGCAATATTTGAAGATTTTTGATCGTCGATACCGTCAAATACTTCAAGACGATCTATACCATGTTTACTCCATTTGAATAATCTACAATAACGTTTCTGCCAGGATTTCTGAAAGATCAATTTTAAATGAGAAATATTCACAACTACCTGTGGAATTTACAGCTAGTAATTGATATTTATACTGGTGGGTGTCGCTTATTTTATAATCAAATCAAAACGTTTTAAAATTGCAATTAACAACCCAATAGGTCAGGCACCACCGACACTTAAATAGATTATGAAAATTAGTTAAGAATCGACAGATTATATTATTATTGTAATGGAGGTACCCAATAAAATTGACAAATTACCTTCAGCTGCGATAGTACTCCGTGTGGCGGAAAGCTGAGATATCCTTCTTTGTACGGGTCGTCCGATCTCGCCATTTGTCCAGATCGTCGTCGGAGCACGGCAGTACAAGCAGGAATAAAACAGCCACCAATAGTAATAATAATATTGCAGTCGTCACTCCGGTGACCACGACCGAACCTGCCAGCCTACAAATGAATGGTTTTCGAGACTATAGGAGGCATTCCTCCGCGGTCAAGTCAACAGAGCGCCGTGAAAATCGACGAAACGAAAATATTAATTATATGATAATATACGTAGGTGGTAGACTATCGCTGTTGTTGTCGGTCGACAGGGTGATGTTGTCGGGCAGCAGCTGGCAACCTTATCAAACCATGTGCCCCGAGCTCGTAAACCGTTGTACGCGCGTTTTCACTGGTAAGTGGTACAGTGGTACCGACCGGGCGTCAACGACGATCCGATCGTACTGCGGTACGGACTTGAGACGCGACTACGCCGAGGGCAAACTGTCCACTCGGCGGGCGGTGGACAGTCGTGGTATAGTCGGTATACACTGGTGTCTGATAGTGGACACTGGTCAGAGTACGTCCGAGTCCCGTGGTGATGCCGTAGTGCGCGGTTGTAGCAATAGCACTGTTGCAGTCGTGTTCTAATCAGTGCAGTGGTACAGCCGCTGTGGCGCGGTAGTCGGCGCTGGCTGATTAGAGCCGCCGGTATGTGCGGCGGCGGCGGTAAATACGTCGTCTTAATGTCGGCGGGGGGGGATGGCGACGTACCTGATAGACGATTGATTCTCGGTGAAAAAGTACGTCGAGTTTTGGGAGGGGGTCAGACGCGAATCCGATATCGTTGTTCACGAATATTGTTGCGTACCGGGTTTTTCGGGCAACGTTCGGCGGCGTCTGTGGCGGATGTCCATAACATTATTATACAGCTATGATCCTTGACCGCGCGCCGCCAACCGCGATCCGGAACTGGCCCGGCCGCGGCGGTACGACGAACGTGCAGTCTTGTAAAAAATACTTTTGAAAAAGTATTAAAATACTAATACTAGTATTCGCATAAAAAAGTATTAAAAATACTTTTAAAATACTTACATAAAAATGTATTTTACGAATACTCACAAAGTATTTGAATACAAATACAAGTATTTTTTTAAATTTTACACCTTATAGTAGCTGTTTCCAAATATGTTTATTAACAAAAATGAAATAACTTACAAATTACCTACCGGCTATAAATGTAGTACATGCTGCTCATATTAGGTATTATCAATATATAATATAGTATCATAATATATTTATACCTAATATATACTTATAATTTATCAATATAATAATATATAATTTAGCATCATTATATATTTATGGTTAATATAATTTAGCATTCGTATAAATCAAATATTATACATTTATACAAATATGAATATAAATTAAATTTCTATTCAGAAAAAAAAACTAACTGTAATAATGAAATAATCTTTAACGTTTCACGTTCGGAACGTGTTGCAACTTATCCCCAGGGCTGTGAATTTAAGGCACTGAAAAACATTTAAAATAAAAAAATGCAATATAAAATGCCAACAATTGTAGTATAAAATGCACTTAAAATGGTTTTTAATTTAATTTTTATATTTATATTCATAAATATTATAGGATATTATACGCATTAGTAAATTACATTTTACATGCTTAAAAATGTGCTTGTACAAAAAAAATAATAAAAATTACCTACTAAAATTATTAATCAGCAGACATAATCTGGAAATTCGTGACTGATATACGATATGATACAAATAATTTGTCTAGTTATCTAACGATTGTCTTATTTTGTCGACGTATAAACAACCTGTGTACAAAACAAAAAAAAAATGTTTTTAAAACATGTAATTTGATTAAAATTAACTAAAAAAGAAAAATAAGACCTAAAAATGCAAAATAAATGTTTCACAAATGGATTCGTAGTTAAATAATTCGAACTATGTACTTACAAACTCGGTACCTACGTTTCACAATCACCAAAAAAAAAATGCACTTTCCTACAAATTCACAGCCGACAGCCCTACTTATCAGCAATATTGGTACATCTACGTGTCTCGACGACAACTTACAGCTGGCGTAGTCATACCTCATATTATTACATTACGCCGAGTACCTAGGAAAAAATTGGTACAGCCATTATGGTACCTATCCGACCACCGTACATGAACATAATATTAGTTTATAATATCTAGTTGTATTGATTTGCACTTACAATGCCCAAATATTATGTCAATCAAGTGCTATTCATTGACGGATCTTAGAGGCTTAGAGCCTAGTGGGGGACTTGGGGTCTGGTCGCCTGGAGGGTTTTTAATTTTCGCAGTATGTTTTCAAGCCCCTCCCAGTCCCTAAAATATCCAAATTTTCGTACTACACACATAGTCCTAATCGGTCAAATCTAAATTATTTCTAGATAAACACTAGTATACTATATTATACCACCGTTCATTACTAAGCTGATAATAATAAAAATAGCTACTCTCAATAACAATGAATAATAATAACTATAATAAGAGTATAAGACGTAATAACACAAAATATTGTTTACTGTGTGTCTGTGCAGTAGATAATAATTAAAACGTGATTTGACAGAAAACTATTAATATATTATAAAAAATGTGAAGATATAAAATTATACATAATATTATTAGAAATGTTTAATTAGAATAACGCACTTTTACATTTTAAGCTACACACTGCACTTTTGGTACTAGGTACCTACACACAATTTTAGGGACCGACCACTCCCCCCTCTCACGAAGGTTTTGTCCGTCTACAACATGTCTTGTATTATTGATATAGATTTATATAATTAATTTAAAATTAATTTGCCTTATACAATAATATTACCTATGGAAATAAGAAGTACATTTTATACACATGTATAAATATTACATATGGGAGGGAGGGAGAAATTATTTAGGCAGTAAGTATCAAGTTGAAGGTTAAAGCCTGCCTTATTTTTGATAGTGGATAAAAATGTGAAGCCCACACAAGCCCGAATTAAGATAATTTTGGGCCCTAAAATAATTTTAGAGGCCCACAACCATAATCAAAATATTGGGGACTCACAAAAAAATATATTTCAAAGATAAAAAAAAAAATATATTTATAAATGTTATTTGTATAAATAATTTTTTTTTGCTTTTTGGGAAGCAAACTCTTTAATTGTAATATCATCTGTATTCTGTATTAATTAACTCCAATACATCACTCTCTGAACACAAAACCATAAAACTATTTAAATTTTCTTAAGAACTGCTCGTTGCTCGCTCTATACTTGTTTTTTATACGTGGTAATTTGGAAAAAGCTCTTTCAGCTGAACAATTTTGCAATAGTTATGGTACAATCCTCTAGGGGCCTACTATTGTTTGATATCTGTTGTGGGCCACCCATGGCCCCCCTTAATCCAGGCTTGAGCCCACACACCGCACGTTTGACCAAATATCCGCCAATTAATGTGCCAATTAATTTATAATGTTTAATAATAATTTTTGATTGCACGTACAAGTGCGCATATAGTTAGGTACTTAGGTATATTGTACTACAAGTCAACAACTATATTGTATTATTGCAATTTGCAGTACAGACTACAGATATCCCAATAATTCCTAGGGCAGTAGACAATAATAGGTATAATATTATCAACCTAGATAATAATAATATTATCTAAAGGTATAGGCAGGCGTATGCCGCATTGCCGCCCGTGACTATAATGCGATAATATTAAATTCGGGCGCACACGTTTTCTTCTATAGGTATTCGGTTATAAATGATAAGTTTATAACTTATATTTGTCGGTTTTTTTCAGTTCGCGTTAAGTAGACATTACAATACCTGCTATATATACATAAGTACCTGACTATATTACTAGAATATACTATGTTTAGCCCGGTTTAGGTAATTTAGCAATTAGGTAGGTATATATATATATCGCATATATAATCGCATCCGCGTATAGTTACATAACGCGTAATACTGCGACGACGTTTTTCTTAAGTAGGACGCGACAGAATGTACGTGTGTATATATATATACATGTATTATATTTAATATACATTACACTGTTGTGTGTTACATTATAGGTAAACGTAACAACTCGCAATCGCGTATAAGAGGACATCCGTCTCGAGTGTCTCGACCTCCACGTGTACGAACATCACTCGTCAGACGCCAGAATAATATAATAATATGTATTATAATATTACGCGGTGGATGGCGATTGGCGACTATATAGCTACGTACTATATTATAGCTCGACTACTATATTTTATATCGTACTGATTCGTTTCGCCAACTGTTTTTTCATTATTATTTGTTATGGCACTCGTATCTTTCCTATATCCTAGTAGGTATCCGTATCCCCCTCCTCACACACACACTGCAACGTACATATATACATAATATACTTATATGTCTTATAGTTTAGGTACACTTCAACACTTGCATACGTCGCATATATGTGACATTAGACTCAAAGTCTAATACCTATACCTATTTTGCTCACGTCTGTCAACTACACAAGATACCTGCTAATATTTATGGGATGCGCGAATGCCTGCAATGTCTAATCTATAATATATTATAATATATATTGCATTGTAAATTTATAAATTATAATAAATTATGTTTATGTTAAATACAATGTTATATTTGATGATTATAATTTATAGTTACATATTGAATGGGCGTATGGCATAGGTAGCACATAAATATGTATTTTATATGAAATAGGTTTAGGTATAAATTAAATATTTGATTTTAATCGGTTTATGTTTGGAAAAAATTTAAACGACGTCTTTAATATCGGGTCAGTAGTCAATAGGTACCTATATTATGTAAATACTGTTTTCTACCACTGTTACTTAAAAAATGTTAATTAGGTATTTTATTTCAAATATAGATGAATAACCATTGATTACCTACTATAATACGGTATGTAGGGTACTTAAAATAAATTATTAAATATTTAATGCCATTTAAACGTTTTATAAATTAAAATACCTAACCTAACATAACATCTATACAAACACAATTAAAATATAATCACGAATTCACAATAGGTACCTCGAACCTACCTGTATACATACAGGTTTAATTACGTTAATTATGTACTTATATACATATTTTAAATAGTATTATTTTTTACAGAAAATTAGCGACTATAAATGTATAATATATTAATATTATATTGTAATATATCGTTAAACATCATTAAGTTTTATAATTTATAAAATATCGCGTTTATACTTTATAATAGATAGGTACCTATACTACTTAGGAGTATATAATATTATAATCTCTTAAAATATAGTTATAATTAAAACAGTTCCTTCGTCATTATATAAAAACATAACGATGAGTGATAATCAAAATTAAAACTTTTAATAGGCATCAAAGCTTATCGGCCGTATACTGTATAATAATTTATAATATTTAATAATATAATATGCAATAAATACTCAAATGTCAGTACAAGAAATAATAGAATATTATATTCGATATATTATCGATCATAATTTCTTAAGTCAATAAATTAATTAAATTAGATATAAGTACCTAGATACGTAGGTACCTACCTATAGTTCATAGTCGTAATCGAATATGTAGACGCAAGAAATATACTGAATGTGAATTTAGAAAAATGTACGTAAATGATAAACATAATATATTATTATAAATAACCTATTTAAAATATGAGATAAAAAATTGAAAAACATTTTTGTTTTGTGATTTATAGTGCGTAATATGTATATACCTTATAATGATTTTTGTGTTGGTATATATTACGCAATCGTCACGTTTCAATATAGCCAGATTATAGTAAAGGTTAATAAAGTAATTAGTAAATTACCAATAATTATAATTAGGTTATTCTGTCTCTATGGTAAAGTTAATTTATAGTTATCAATTTATTTTATTTATTTATTTTGATAATTTTTATCCACAATTAAAAGTTATTAAGTCAAAAATGTCTTTGAAGGGATTGGATACCGATGTAAAAATATAGTAATGGAGACCAAAAAGCGAGTGTGGGGCTTTGGATGGGTTGTCGTATATTATTTCTAAAAAATACTATGACATTGTTGTTTATTCTACTAGTATTTGATCGGGACATTTTTTCTTTTAGTTATTAAAGGTCGGGATATTTATAGTTGAAAACTTTTTTTTTAATCATTCATAATGTTTTTAGGTTTTAGTACCAGGTTATAGTTATAGTTCGTATAGTTCGTATAGTTCGTATTTTTTCAGAATTAAAATCCTATGCAGTTTTATCTAGCTTATAAGCAGAGCTAGGTTTTATATGCAACAGAATTTTTTTTGGGAACTTCTGATTAATGATTTTTTCATTAATTTCCACGAATCCACCTTATGATGAGATAAATGGTGGTATTTTTATTTTGCATGTTTTTGCATATTTTGGATAAAATGTATATTATTGCATATTTCGATTATAAGAATGCGAAAAATGCATGTTTTATAGTATATATCATAAAACTTGGTTTTTTTGTCAAACATAAATTTAATTTTTATAGCTTCAGTCAACACAAAGCCATAAAATTCATTCATCATTATTATACATCATCATTCATTATTCATTTTTGAAAATTTAAAAAAAATTGTGGTCGTAGCATGTAACACACGCAGTGAATGTGAATTAAAAATTTTATTTCTGAATTATTTTATTTTATTTTATTTCTCAATTATATTATATTAAGACAAACAGCCAATCACTGATGTGTTTCAATAAATACATTTTTTTTTTGTACTATATTTTTGTGTTTATCTTATAAAAATTAAAATGCATATTTTACCATTTATTATTGCATACCTACAAATCCTAGCCCTGCCTATAATATAATATATAAGCACTATTAATACTTTTGACCAAAAAAAAAAAAATTGTGTAATGCGATATTCAGTTATTGATATGTAGATTGTAGGTTATGTGCACGTGAGGGAGTGCTACTCTATTTATTTTGAAAACAATCACTCACACAAATGATCACCTAATAATTACTATGCACACATTTACACAACCCGCCTTCACACACATAGAAAATTGCCTAAAAATTAAGCTCCCTTTATACGTAGAAACATGGGAAGCCCTGTAAAAAACTACTAGCGACATGGCACTCAATTTCACTGAATTAGCCTATCCAGCCTCTTACACGCAGAACACGAATACAAATTTTCTAGCTCCAAAATAGGAATTCAATTTACACCATAGATATTTAAAATAATATGCATATAAATATAAAACGACCATAGGCGCAAAATGACTAAATTTGACTCACGTGAGTCACACCCCCATCCCCATAGGCCATATTGCTTAGTACTGCAGAATATAAAAACTAGTACTAATTACTAGATTTTGAATTTGGAGGACTAAGTCCCCCCCAAGCCCCCCCCTTTTTTCACCAATGAGAACGACAAAGAATATATAAATGATTCATTGATGATGAGAAAATACCAGGGACATAGCCAGGATTATTTTCGGGGGGGGGGGGGGCTAAAATATTTACTAGAGCTAGGATACTACTGGGTTCTTACAATATAGTAAATTGGTTCATCCTATCATATTTAAGAATATAGCCAGATTATAGTAAAGGTTAATAAAGTAATTATTAAATTAACAATAATTATAATTAGGTTACTCTATCTCTATGATGGATGATTATAATTAAAAATTGGTTATAAGTACCAGTTATGAGTTATATGCGGTAGATACAAGAAACGCTTAACGATTTATGCCCACGACTGCAGGCGAATATACATTTTCCAATTTGATATTTGGGGGGGGGGGGCTCAAGGACTTAAACCCTGGGCATAACCGAGTTAAAAAGTTAAAGTTAAGTTAAAACTTTTTTAAATTAAATTTTTTTTAACTTAATTTTTATCTTCACTTATTATTATTATTGCGGTTTAAACTTAATAAATAAAGAGTTAATTTTAACCAAATCCAAGTTACGATAATTTATAAATAATTAAATAATAAATATAAGTTATAACACAATTATTATTGATGATAGGTACATGTTTCGTAAACATTTACTTTTTATTATTTTAAACGATATTACTGGCTATTTATAGTTAAAAAAAAAAAATTAAGTTATGTTAATAAGTTAATTGTAAGTTTCCATGTAATTTTTAACTGAAAAAAAAGGTGGACAAGTAGGTGTTGCTCCGCTGTACAGTAGGTTACAAGTGGGTAATTGCTTAATGGATGGTGTCAAATTTGAATTCAATGATTTAATATAATTTCATAAGAACAATGATTCTGAGCGAAGATGGTCAGCCAGCCTATGACATTATATTGATATTTCCTACTAAGTACCTATATTTGATTTCTTGTTTTTTTTTATATACCTATAACCTATTTATGTGAAACCTTGTTTTAAATTTTCAATCCTTAGCTATAAACGTTGAATATTTTATACATTTTTAACTACAAAATAATTATTAAACTTTAATTTGATAAATTTGGTCAAAATTTGAACTTTAGGTAAATTTTTATAACAAAAAATTGTGCCTATGTACTTTCAATATTTTTAAACCTCTATTTTAACAATAGATCAGGAGCCTTGTATTAAATTTTCATACTTTTTACCCAACTAATTTAATTGACAGTAATAGAAAAAAAAATTAAAAACTGAAAATGTCCGTAAACAGCTGCGCTGCTCAAAACAAGTAAAACTATTTTCGAAATTGTATATTATACAGATAATTACAGAAAATGAAAATGTAAACATTTTTGAATTACAACAAAATAAGAAAATCACTAAATGAGAAATCTATTGAATATCCAAACTTATAAAAATATGAACTTCAAACGCTCATAAAAATTTAACTTGATTTGCTTGTAGACTCTTTTTTTTTGATAATGGTAGACAAACTTATATTACTTTTTCAAATAATAGATTTTTATGAATTCTTAACTCATAATAGTTTGCTGATTTTCGTGATTTTTCCATATTTTGTCAAGATTTTAACTTTTAATGCTTAAAAAAAAAAATTGTGACTAAGGATTTTTAATATTTGCATATTTTTTCAATGGAACAAAATAGTAGGAGCTTTGTATTCAATTTTTAAGGTTTTTTACCCTACAAATAACATTTTATTGACATTTATAGAAAAAAAACTAAAAAAACCGAAAATTGATAATGTCCGTAAACAGCAAAAAAAAGTCAAAATATTTTGAATATTTTATGGTGTATAGAAAATGCTAATATAAATGTTCAGTGACTATTTTATGTATGATGTATCTATTATACGGTCATTTGTTTTAAAATTAAGTGTAAAAATTCCCATTTTCCTTAATTTTTATGTTATTTTTGAAAACTATTGGGAATTTTCACTGTCCCATCGAACAATATACTGTACAACATACATACTGTTGAAGAAAAACAAAGCCGTTTTACTGCCCCAAACCGTGATGTCAGACATAAAAACATACATCATTGTAAAATCAATACATTAATCTCTCCGATCAGAATCTAAAAAATTTGGATAACTTTTAAAAATATTTTCTATCAACTTAACCTAACTCAATCAAAAATTATCATCAACTTGCTCAGGCATGATATTTTCTAATGACTTGATCGATAGTTTTTGATTTGATATACTTTAAATTGTAATACATTTAAGAAATTAAATAATATAAATAATATATCGACTAAATATTGAAATATTGAACTATATCTATAACAGTTAATAGTTATATTGTATAATATTATCTTTATTACTTATCATACTAATTAATTATCTCATCACAAAAATCAAAATAAATAAAATTGAGTTTGCAGAAATCACATAAGCTTGAGGGCCTCAATAAGAGGTCTGCACGGTCCGTTTTCTTACAGACCGGACCGGACTGATCATTTTTAACAGAGACCAGGATTGGACCGGACCGATAATATAAAAATTAAGCCAGATCGGACGGGACTGATATATTTTAACAAAGACCTGAATCAGACCTGACCGGACTGATACATTTTAACAAGGACCGGGACTGGACCGACCAAACCAGACAGATAAAATAAAAATGAAGCCAGACCGAACGGTTATTTTACTATGATAATTATTATTAACTAGCTGATCCCGTGAACTTCGTTACCCGTTAAATGTACCAACTCTATAAGACTCAAACTTTGTTCAATTCGTTATTTATTATTCGGTGTATGGTGCTCAAAATTTATCTTAACTTTTCCGTTGCCCCGAATAAAAATTCTGATTCTCAGCAGTATATTATCAGGTAGGCAATCTACCTGCGGTAGATCGCGGACCCCATGCTGTTTGTACATAAATGGTAAATGTATGATTTAACTCTAAAGTATCAAAGTTATACCAAGTTTGTCGTATTCCACCTATGGTGGATTAATATAATCAATTAATACAAAATCCTAACCTAATCTAACCGTACTAATATCAGATGAATATAAAAAACCAAATTTAACCATTTTTAAATTAGCCTGTCATCTTCCCAGAGGTTTATCTACACACAAACATTCAAACATTCATTTATACATATTATATATTGACAAAAAATAATAATACAAATCAACAAACATGCCAGATTAACCAATATATACTGTTGCGCCACTGTTGTATTTTTTACATCCAGATTTCCTACTTTTCCGGTGAATTTTCCTGAAATTTTCATTCGTAAAAACCTTCTCAGTTCTCCTAACAATTACGAACATCTTAAAAAAAAATTTGAGCCAAATCGGAGCAGCCGTTCTCGATTGATGAGGTAATGACATTTTTCACGCTCCACTTTTATATATATAGATTTAAACAAAAGAAAAGTCAATTCACAGTTTAATTTTGTTGTTCTGTTATTAGGTACTTATTCTATTTAAAAATACAATAATTACCTAATTCTTAAATAAAGTAAATCCTCAAAAAACACCCTTATATAGCATTAATAATATTCCTAACTAAAACTAAATAATCATCTTTATGTCACTGTTTCTAGGTTTCATTGTTTTTATCATTTTATTTTATAGGTATTGACATTTCAATTTTTTTACGTTTAAACACCAAATATTAAACGTATTAAACATATTATATATATTTTTTTGTTTCACGACTACTTAATATTGTTAATATTATAGTCTACGATTAGATAATTATCTATTCTATGTAGGTACTTTTGCACGTACATGTTCAAATCCTATTATGTAAACCTCAAAAAATATTTATTTATGACTCAAACACACGATTTAACTTACACATTCTGAATCATTTTCATAGAGAAAAAAAATTGTAAAAAGATATTTTTCATTAGGTAGTATTTAAATAGAGATACAAATAGATCAATTTAGAAATTATTTAAACACCTAGTGTTTCAAATACTTTTATCATCATGTATTAACTATTTAAGAACAAATACAAATATTGTCAATACTTTATATTTCTACAATGTCTTTTGTCTTACGACCACAGTGTAGGTGACAGTGAACAAATTGTATACATTTTCGGAATAATAACCTAAACAATACTTATTAGTTGTTACTTGTTACTTACTTATTACTTGTTACCTACTTGTTCTTATTTACGTAAATTAATAGATTACGCTGTCCGCTGCTATGCCCATATATTATTTACATTAATTCATTTTGATATTTGTGTCTTAGAATTATACCTATGTATAATTATAATATATATTAATATATTATATTATTTAAAGAGAGAGTAAGACATATTTGAAATTTACGTCTTGCTTACTATGGTTGACAGTTTAACTTAATTAATATTTTTTTGAAAAAGTAATAATAATACGGGTTATGGGGGGGGCTTTAGCCCTTAAGCCCCCCTCCTGCGGACACCACTGATTCCAATCACCAGGTTTTTTACTTTTACTAGCTATTGTAAATTTTAATAAATATTAGTAAGTATATTACTTATCGACTATCGTCAAAATCGACTGCGTAATACTATATTATCGTATTATAAATTCTTTGGAAATAACGACTATAACGTCTTTTACTAGTCTCAAAAATATAATACATGTTAAAATGCCTTTGGGTACATATATTTATTTTTTAAGTTATACAAAAGCCAACTAAGGACAAATGACCCTACAATAAGTTTTGTTAAATAATTATATAGATACTAGGTACTAGGTAGGTCGAATACTTATTATGGATTTTGAATATTTAGTTTAAAATAATTACTTATCAAAAGGTGATTATAAACGATTTATCTGACGACTGGCACTTACAAAAACGACGTAGGTATAATGTACAAAATATATAAAACCATTTTTTCATAGCTAACTACAATAATACAGAAAATACAATTCGTGTAATTTCATTACCTAGCGTTCTTCTTATAGATCCATAATGGGTGAATATTTATTATGTCAACAACAAGACTATATTATAGGTATAGAACGCAACGAGCTATTTTTGTGTCCCAAAACATTAAAATCTAAGTTAAAATAACATAATTAATAATATGATGTTATTTATTTTACAACGTATTATACATTATATGTAAAATTATATTATTAAATCGACGTTCAAAATGCAGATCACTAGACCGGACCATACCTATAGACTTTAATATTTTATATAAATTTGAAGGTCGAAAAAACACACAACACACAACTTTCTTGATGAAGAAACACCCAAAATAACTTAAGATACTATCAACCAAGTATTTTACTCGTACCAATATAGTGATAATAATATTAGGTTTATTATACACCTAAGCGTAATTTTTATTTTCCAAACAAACTTTTTTATTTTTTTTATACGACTGAAATAATTTTGTTCTATTTCAGTTCATAATAAATTATGATCTTTATATTTTATTCAAGTATTCTTGATATTAATATTTTTAAGTTTAAAAAAACTGGGAAACCAAGGACCGGGTAGTACGTAAGTACCATAAGTTCAGATACCATTGAAATCACCTACCTACATAGGTAGACTTAATATGCTTTTATAAATTGTAATACAAGTAACAAATACAAATAAAATAAAGTATATTACTAAGTATATATTTTGATGATATTATTGTGAATATAAAGTAATTTATTTAATTATTTACTTGGAACCTTGTTTTAAATTTTCAATCCATAGCTATAAAAGTTGAACATTTTATAAGATTTTAACTACAAAATCTTTTTTAAAATTTAAATTTGATACATTTTGGGAAAATTCAAACTTTACAATCTTACAAAAAAAAAATTATGACCATGAATTTGTAATATTGTTCAACAGAAGCCTTCTATTAAATTTTTAAACTTTTTGATCCAACGAATACAATTTTATTGACATTTATAGAAAAAAAACTAAAAAGTTGGAAACTAAAATGTCCGTAAAAAGCTCAAAACAAGTACATTTTTAATATAAACATTTGGTGAAAATTTCATGTATCAACGGTCTTTTTTTTTAGAGTTACACCAAAAACCAAAATCTATTTTGTCGAAAACCCCATTTTTTCGAAATTTCCGTTTTTCCTCAACTTTTATTTTGTTTTTGTCCCCCCCCCCAAAAAAAAAAAAAACTACAAACTAGATTCACTTTCCTATCATAAAAGATGTTGTTTAAGAAAATCTAAGCATTTTTATTGTCCTAAAAGTTGATGACACACAAAACAAAAAAAGAACACACATCATTGAAAAATCAATACATTCATCGATTCGCTCAGAATATACAATAAGGGGATTGAATAGGCAACTCATAATGCAACTGAGCACTATTCTGTTCCCAGAAATCCCATAAGCTTCCCGCGTAATATCTGTAGTATTTGCTAATATCTAATAACAATTACCTATGGTAGATAGAAGACCTCCAAGAACTGATGTTGGAAGCTTTGGGTGTGTTAAGTCATGAATCAACATTTATTGAGTCTACCAAGCTCGTTGGGGACACCAGCAATAATTATTGCGGCCGTTGCGATCATCATTCATTTTGTTTGCCACAATAGCCGTCTTGCTGATTTGGTTGCGGAAGTCGTTGCTATAAATTTATTGTTGTTTATCGTCGACACAATCACAGTACAATACCTTTATTATCGTCGATTTCTACTGATTTTCCAAATATTTACTATAGTTTTGACATGCTTCAGTTCCGAAGTTATTAATATAATTATATATATAAAACTACAAAAACAAACAAATTTATTCAAAAATATTTAAAAAAAAATAATTTTACCTTTATATCTTCAATAAAATGCTCTTTAATTAAGCTATTTAAATTTAATAATTAAAAAAGTGAGTGCTGTCATGGGACACCCGGTAGAATTATTTTCCAACAAATATTATAGACTATAAAATAAATATACATTTTAGTGGAACCATTCAAAATAAAAGTAAATGTGAAAAATAAATGAAAATTATTATTATTACTATTTAATTACAATTATATTAGTCATATTCAATAATCGAAATTGCATGTCTGTGATGTAACGTGTAATGTTTGTGAAGTAATTTTCCAAATATCTTGAAAATACTGCATCGACATTCCATGATAGTGGTGTCATCTCTCGTTGTAGTCTTGTAGATTCTGCTGGATTGTTTATCATATGTAAATTTAATGTGTCCATAAGCAAAGTTTTAAAAGTTTCAGATTTCATATGATTAAAATTGATGTTAAAGCCACCAAATTGTTATAATTTATAAATTATAATAATTATAAAAGCATAATATGCAGACCATTAATAATAGTAATCGTAATTACGCCGTTTCAAATCCTATCGCGTTAAACCCGTTTTCTATTAACTAGTTTACACCAAACGCGGCACACAAAAAATTTAATCATGGCAAATTTAAAGCACTATATAGGGATCACGGTTTAAGATAGAATGGTTAAGCGACGAGGTCTGATATTTTCGGCGGTAGAGTTTCTTATTAAAAATATGAAAAACTCACTGCCCCGTGGCTCAATCTACTAAATTACCACGATAATCTTGATATTTTATAAATTTATTAAATAATAATAATACTATATTATAATTATTAATTATTATTATATAGTACCTACTTCATAATACTTAATGGCTAATGCCTAATGGTTGAAAACGTAGAAGAACTTTACAATGTATTTTTTTTTTAACAAATGTCCATTTTATTTTGGCATTTAATAGCTTTCCAATATAATATCAGCTGTATGAAGTATTAACTAATTTTACAAAGAAAAATAAGAACCAGTTGTTAAATAAACCGATTTTAGATTCTAAGTGAAACGATGAATGTATTGATTTTACAATGATGTTTTTTTTATTTTTTATTTATTTTTTTGTGTCTATCATCACGTTTTAGGACAGTAAAAGTGCTTGGATTTTCTTCAACAGTAGCTTTTCTGATAGGAAAGTGAAAATAGTTGGTACTTTGGGGGGTCAAAAGTAAACATTTCCCAGTAGTTTTCACAAGCACCGGGAAAAACAACATAAAAATTAAGGAAAAACGGGAAGTTTTACGCAAAATCGGTTTTCCAAAAAATCGATTTTGGTTTTTGGTGTAACTCTAAAACAAATGAACGTATATACATGAAATTTTCACTGGTTGTTTATATTTGCATTTTCTATACACGATAACATTTTCAAAATATTTTGATTTATTTTGAACTGTTTAGGGACATTTTCATTTTCCATTTTTTTTTAGTTTTTTTTCTAAACATATCAATAAAATTTTATTTGTTGGTTGCGAAAGCTTGGAAATTTAATAGAAGCCTCCTAGTATATTGTTTCAAAGGCAGGTGAAAAATATTAAAAATCCTTAGTCACAATTTTTTTTTATAAGCATTTAAAGTTCAAAAATTGACAAAATATGCAGGAAAAATCACGAAAATTAGCAAATTATTTTGAGTTAAGTGTATAATATTATTCGTGGGTACTTGAAACTTCTAAAGTGTATTATTATATATCTGTGATAGTATCACGGTTTTTGTTGATGTATAACGCGTCATAAGTACCTAATGGATATTGTGATATGATTAATTTGGAATTTATTATAGGTACCTATTATAGGTCAATTCTTTGTTTAATACCATAGATATGTATATAATAGGTATGTCTTATACAGTTATACCTAGACTGACATACCGTCTCCGCTCAGAATCGTTTTTCTTATACAATGATATTATATCGTTGAATTCAAATTTAATATCATCCATTATATAGTGACCCACTTGTAACCTACTGTACAGCAGAGCGACACCCACTTGCCCACCTTTTTAATATCGTATTTAACATTATTGACGAACCTCATTTTCGGCGCACCCGTTCCCCGTTAATCCAACGGGACGTCGAAAAGGTTCACACAATATTTTATATTTTATCGTTTTCTAGTACCTACCCATCGTATTTTTCCGATCTCTGTTCCCGCCGCTATTTTATCGTTCGAAAATATGTCCTGTCGCTCGGTCTGAACGATAGATTGGACAGTTGTTTAATAGGGTAACTATCGGCTGTATTGTGAATAAAATATAATACTATCATAATAGGACCAAAACCTGAGGACATTTTAAATGGATTCCAAGTGTAAGTCGAACTTTCAGGATAACATTGTTCAATACTTATGACATGTAAATTCAATTTTTTTTTTCTTAGGAATTGGATGAATTTAAGAGACGCCGATACGGGAGTTGTATTATGGCAAGGCACCAAGGATCTGTAAGGACATTATGAATTAATCTTGTAGTATCCACACAATATAGTTATGGTAAATTTTCTAAAATATGTTTTTATTAGATCATTACCTGACAAAGAACACGAAGCCAAAGTACCAAAAAAGATATTGAAGTGTAGAGCTGTATCCAGGGAGATAAATTTTTCATCTGTAGAACCTATGGAAAAACTAAGGTTACAACAAAAAGTACTGTTTAAGGTATGCATCTATAAATTGTCTAGGTAGAACAATTTGTAATAAATAATTTGGATTTTGGATTTCTTTTAAACATAATTTATCTACTGATATTATGTCACCCAATTTTCTTAGTAAGGCAGTGGTAAGCAAAACATTAACTAGGTATGTTTTTGTAACAAACTAGACAATATTGTTTTAAAACCCAACACTATTTTATTATCTTTTGTCTACTTACACATTATTATTTTAGTCTATTTAACATATATCTATTATAGGGTCGTTGTCTTGAAGAATGGTATTTGAATTTGGTTTTGTTATTCCTAACTCCACTAACACTTGACAGTCACTTATTGAAGCAGCACCAGAATCACAAATGATGCCTGCAAATGTTCTTAAGTAAGTTGCACTAAATTATGATAATATTATCATTCATCATAATGGTGTAAATATTTAATGTTTACAATTTATTTTTAAAACAATCAAAAATGTACAAGAAATGATCAAATACATTATTTATTTAGTTTTTAAATGATTAGGTAATTAATGTAAATTTCTAGAAATATGATAAAATATTCTATTAAATTAATATTATTTAATTTATAGGACTATATAGTAGAATACAAATAATTGATACCATTTATTACACCTTTAGAATTGATCATTGTTTTGCCTCTACTAAATTATGTTACTAATTTCTATTTGACACATACCTAATTTTTTTTATTAGATAAACATTTAAGCTTAAAGTTATAAGCTTATTATAATCATACATTTATATATTTTTTCAGTGGTAATATTGTGATAGAAACAAATTTCTATGATGACGATCTACTGATATCATCATCAAAAGTTCGACTGTATTATGTTTAATCACCAAAAAATTCAAATGTGTACTACTCAAAACATGTAGATAGACAATTTTGGCTTGGTACATGCATAACCGAGGTCCAAGAACACGGAAAACAAGTCCCCACTGCTGTGATTGTTTCGTATTTTAGTTTGATTACTTTTATATGTGATAAAATGTTTTTCTTGATCGTAAAGTGTTAAACTTATTAATAAGTTGTACCTAACTTCTAAATGTAAAACCATAGTCTTTATATTCAATATTATTTTAAGAAATTAGAATGTCGTACACAAGGATACAATTTACACACAAATATTGATCTTTCTTAAACATTCTAGTATGAGATTAATTTTTTTTTATAAAAAAAATCACTTAATTTAGCGCATAATATGGACATATGATTGGAGTTGTGAAATTATTGTCGAATTATCATTTATATCTTCACAAGACTGCCTAAGTGCTGTTCATTTTTTTAATTTGTATAGCACATAATATTATGATAATGTACTTAATACAGTTAATTGTAATGTTTTTATTCTTATTGGTCAAATATTATATTATATTTTAAAAACTCAAAACACGCTTACTAAAACATATTATATTAATAACTGTTTTTATTAGTCAATGATGCTTTATAATTGAAGATGGCACATGTAGAAAAATGTTTCGTGTACTGTAGTACAATAACATTAATTTTGTACATACTTTGAATTATGGGTAAATATATCTAGTGCTTATTTAAATTACAAAAAGTAAAAGTTTGAACAAAAAGAACAATAAATTGTTTAGAGTTAAATAATCTAAATATTACAATTATTATAAGTAACTAAATTATACTATATTATAGACAATTATTATTGAAAAACAGGAAATAAAAATTAATAATAAGTTGTGAAAGCCTATTATCAACCTGTAACCACACTGAGTAAAGTAAAGACTACTGAGTGAGGTTATATTGAACTAACTATCTAAGTAAGATAGAGACAATAAAAATAGTATTACAATATTTGCAGCCTAATAAAAGGAAAACACTAATATAGTTATAGGAAATTTAAACTGCTGTCAAAACCTTACATTTCATTATTAAAATTAAAATGTAGAGCTATGTATAATACTTCCAGTGGGTTCAATTACTTACTGGTTACTAAATATAATATTACTGCTCAATAAAAACTTAATGAAAACAATTGGTGATAGACAAACAATCATAATGTAATAACAACTATATATATATAAAAAAAATGTTGCTAGACTAAAAAGTATTCAAATTCCAATTGAAGTATAGATGCATATTATTATACTATAGCTTATAATTTTAATCGTTCATAAATTATAAAATAATTTTGTCACTGGGTTAATTGTTTGTTTAATATTGTAAAACAATATCTTTTTTCTTTTCACTTATTACTTTTCTGGTGATTTTGACGCTTGGTCCAAATCTAAGCCTCTTGTCTTTAGGATTATTTTTGTGTATGGCGATCCAAGCAGAGCTTCACCCTTGTCAACTTCAGGATTTTTATTTGGAGTACAGGGTTCAGAAACCACATTCTTTTTCTTTTGAGGTGTTTTTGGTGCCTTTACTTTTTTGCTTTTATCTGGAGACCGGTAAGAATTGGTTCGACCATTAGTTTGCCTAAAATTGTACCGTCCCAATTTTGGTTGTTCTTCATGTTCTTCATTTGTCTTAAAAGCTCCTTTACACAACTTTTCACATGAGCAGCATTCACAGTAAACATTATTTTCACCAAAGAAATTAGGACCATAAGAGCATGTTATTTCATCACCAGGTTTAATATCTCTGAGTACTTTAACACAGGCCGTTCCTTTGTCATTAGGTACAAACATACAATTGGCCAGGCAATCATGGTTAATATACGCTGCTGGGCCCAGCCAAAGTTGAGCACACTTTTTGCGACAGCTGTACATCACTGAAAAATCATTCTTCCCAATATGCAATATTTCATCCTCCTCTTTTTCTGTCAACTCGGCCACACAACCAACTAATCGTTTAATAATTCCATTTTTATGCCAATGACTGGTGGCATTGACTTTGGCTCCTACTTTATTCTCTAAAGAGTATCTGTAACATGGTTCAATTCGAAAACCAGAATCCAAATAAAACATTCCCATGTATCTTTCAATATGGTCTCTGACTAATTTTTTATAAGACGCTTTGAATAAATGATCAGGTACATACTTTCGATTCCAAAAAGATCCAAAAGCTATTTTCATATTTTGATTTTTTATGAATTCATCAATAATAGGTTTTAAATGTGACTTACATTCATACCTTTCTTTACGTTCTGTGTTCATTTTGTGGGTATTAAATCCAAGGAAAACATCGACAACAAGAGATGTAGCTAAGTCATCAATATCACACAGATCTTGAGGCTTCATAATTTATGTATCTGAAAAATTATGTAATATTTTGTTATCAATGAAGGTGAAATTAAGATCATAACTTATAAAGTAATAAAAGAGTATATTAAATAATGATTGTAGAAATGAAAAATCAAGCTTTTTTAAGCAAACAGTAAATTTACACATTCATTTTGAGGAAATGTAATATGTATCTTATAATCAACAAATATTATCATTTAAATAGATTTATTACAAAATATTAAAGAATGTACTATGTACGCATAAGGATTTTCAATAATCAGCCATTATTTTATTATTTTAAAACATTAAATTGAGTTTTTTGTCAAATACCAAATCACATTTTAATATTTTGGTATTGGTGAAATATATTGCCATTACAATTTGTGGACATTTTAAAATCATGACTATAAATAAAATACAAGTTTCATTAAATTGTTTACCTAGTTAATTTTAGAATGCTATCCAATATTAATTGGTAGATAAAAAGATACCCACATAAGCAAGACATTTAAAATAAGTATTAAAGAAAACTATACAAGTACAATCCCGTGTATTGTACAACCACTTTTATGCTAAAATTTGACAACTATATATAATGAATTTTTGATACAAATAAATTGAGCGACCACACAAGAAAGTAGATGTGGACTATGGTCTATGAGTAATTACCAAATACAAAATCATCGAGTTAAAAACCTTCACGTTAAAAATCTGTAGATTATTTGTGGAAAATAACGAAAACATTGGAAATCAAGTTTGGGCGAGTTTGTAAGATATTTAATGGTGACTGATGATGACAACCAACAACGTTTAACATTTTAAATAATATCAAATATTGAAGTGATATTATAATGATCAAATTGTACTATAAAATGTAAATATGTCCACTTGTCTACATACTATTATAGTGCACTGTTCACAAACACAGAACGTCAATACCTACTTGGAAGGTTTTCGAATTTTCGATTCATAAATGATAAATGTTTAAATTCCGGCAAACTGTGGATATTGACTGCTAAGGTAGGTATTTGATATTAACGTCAATATTTTTTCCGGTTCATTGAAAATGTTTAAACGGTCGTTAATCGTTATTCGGTGTGAATATCTGGTTCGAGAAACAATAAGATTCAGACGGTAGGTAGTTATTAATTATTGCCACTTACCCGAAAGGACACAATCAGCTGTACCACGAACCGGCAAACCGCACAGACTTCAGACCGCTCCGAGTAAGTTTTACCGACAAGGTGACGATCGACATCCGCAGATCAACCGCAGCTGGACGAGAAGGCGACTTCTATTTATATTTTTTTAAGACTGTGTATTAAACTATCAACAGTCAAGTCTCAGTCTCTACGGGATCGAGATCTCTCGGCGAGCTGAAGTCTGAACGCTCGAGTTACGAAAACCGTTATCCCCTTATCACGTTGTTATCAAAGGATTACGGATGGACGTTAGGAACGTCTTGAAAAATTTGCCGCGGAAACGACGTGAAACCCGCAGCTAGCCGAGATATTACAATTTACAATAATACTAGGTATAATATATTTTTTTAAAGCGTACAAAACAGTTTTCAAAAAAAAAAAATTATTTAAGTAGGTATAGGTATAGTAGGTAAATTATTATTAATAATTATAAAATAAAATTGTTCTCAATTTTACCAAAAATTACTAAAAATAATGAACTATGTTTGCCAACAATTTGGTTTGTTTTTTTGTTTTTTTTTGTTGATCATTTTGGATTACCGATTTAAGTAAATATATATAAAGGTATACCTAGTTATAAGAAAAAATATTTAGCTCTTGTAGATTAGGGTATGGTATTTGAGTATTTCAGTTAAAAGTATTAGATCATGCTATTTTACTAAGCTTTAGAGGGCCCTAGTTAATAACCTAGAGATCAAAATGATCATTTGACTATCAAATGTTCAGAAAAAAAGCTTTACCAGAATCCATAAAAAAATATAGTGGTTATGTACCATTTGAAAACTAAAGTCGATTTTATATTGGTACAACTGCGTGTTTGAAACTTTTTAAAATGTTATAAAAAATTGCCTGTTAAAAATAAATAAACCCGTCTTTTTTTTGTTTAAGTAACGAAATTCCATATCATCGATCCTTAATATTGTTAAAAAAAATCCGCGTTCAATGACATAAGCTACTCCTGTATATTTTTGTATATTAAAAAATTCACAATAATATAAAGTCGTTACTCGTTTAATATATACCTATATAATACTATAACCGAAACCATTTTTTGAAGTAAAAGTTGAAAGGGGGCCCACAAAGTGTATGGTGTCCCGGGGCCCAATTGATTACTTGGTTGTGGTATTGTTAATTATAATAACACAAACGTATATTATAGTCTTTCTAGTGTGAAAAAGTAAAAACGAAATGACGTACATATAAAATTGTCTACTGCTAATGACCGATGGACAATCCCCACCGATCGTAATATGATACTTATGATTATTATTATTAATATAAACGTTTAGTATACAATGTAAATGCTGAATAAACAACACTTTTAGTTAATCCTGGCTTGATAATAGGTACTAGGTACCTATAGTTACTTCTTAATTCTTACTTCTTACTTAGTACTTAGTATTTATCTACTAGTGCCAAGCGTCAAGGACTCTACAATATCGGCACCACATATTATACGATGGGCCTTAATATTTTCTCTCAAGTACCCGAAGTAGGTACCTACCTACCTGTTTTGTATACAATATATTTTTGGGTAAAAAAAAAAATCTCCTAAATGTTTAAATGGCATTGGTAATCAGGCTATAGGTTTTTAATATAATGTTGTATATTATAAGTATTGTAAATTATAGAAAAAAAAACTAAAAAATTCAAAACTAACAAATTATGTTAACGGACATCTCAAAAAGAGACAAAATAATTTTTCAAATTTTACGGAATATGGAAAATAAAAATATAAACAATCAGTGAAATTCCATCTACCTATCTACAGTTATTCGTTTTTTAATTACAAAAAAATAACAAAATGGCTACCTACTTAAGAAATGAAATTATTATAAATATATTATTATATATGAAAAGATTGGACATTTAAATTTTGTAAAAATATGAACTACAAACGCTCATAAAAATTTAAAGTGATTCGTTAATAGACCTTTTTTTTTGTTGATAAAGGTAGGAAAACTTATGAGGAATCTTGTATTACATTTTCAAATCTTAGATTTAAATAGGAAAATTCTTATGAATTTTCAACTCAAAATAATTTGCACATTTTCGCGAATTTTATACGTATTTTGTCAACATTTGAACTTTAAATGATAATAAAAAAAAAATTGTGTCTGGATTTTTAATATTTTCCATTTGTCTTTGAAACCGTATATTTGGAGCCTTCTATTAAATTGTCAAGTTTTTTTACCAAATAAAATACATTTTTATTTTCTATAGATATTTATAGAATAAAGAACTAAAAAAATTGAAAACTGAAAATGTCAGTAAAGAGCTCAAAATAAGTCAAAAACTACAAGGACATTTTTACTTTTTACCCCCCAAAGTACCAAATATAGATTCACTTTCCTATTAGGAAAGATAGGTGGCTGATAGGTACTGTTGAAGAAAATTTAAACACTTTATTGTCCTAAAATGACCGAAACAAAAAAAAATTTTTAAAAAAATAACACACATCATAGTAAAATCGATCCCACATTTATCGCTCCTCTCAGAATCTAAAATTCCCAATAGTTTTCAAAAGCGCCGGAAAAACAGCATCATAAACAAAACAGGAATTTTTAAGGGGGTTTTCGACAAATTCGATTTTGATTTTTGGTGTAAATCTAAAACAAATGTACTTACGTATAGGTATATATTATACATGATTTTACTTTTGACCCCCCCAAAGTACCAACTAGATTCACTTTCCTATCAGAAAAGATACTGTTGAAGAGAATTCAAGCACTTTTACTGTCCTAAAACGTGATGACAACACAAAAAAAATTTTAAAAAAAAAAACACACATCGTTGTAAAATCAATACATTCACCGTTCCACTCAGAATCTAAAATTAATAATCATAATAAATATAAAAATTACTATCTATAATTTAAATTATATAATTCAATTCTAAATTAAATAAATGTTATAGATTTAATATATGTATATTGTATATATATGTACAATATAATATGTCTCTTTTGAAACATGATTTGAACGATACAACTAATTCTAATGAGAAATTAAAAGAAGAGATTGTAGAGGCCCTAACAAAATCAGTAATTCTTAAATTAATCATTATAAATAATTATAAATATATAATTTATAATTATAAATAATTATCCTACATTAATGTTGGTGTTAACAATTATTTTTTCCCTAAAAACTACTATGAATAATAAAAAAATGTTTGACTAAATATGTATATCCGGTATATTTAGTACATATTACATAAGTAATTTAATTTATTACAGGGAGAGTTGAAAAAAAGCAATGTGTCCTTAAAAGCGAAAATTGAAAATGTACTGTTGGAAAATGAAATTTTAAACAGCACAAAGAAATCATTGGTAAGACAAATTTAACATCAAATAATGAAACAACAGTTAAATAAATAATATCACACACAGAAAAAGGAAAACGAATAAATGGTGACAATAAAAAAAATTGATCAGTTATTGGACATCAAATTGGCAAAGCTCGAAAATATTATCATAAAAAGCCTGACAAATCCTAGTGATGGGACCTTGGATGTAACTAGACCAATAACAAATATTGTAATTGAGGAACATAATTCAGCCACTTCAGATCGTCCTTTTCCGCCAGTAAAATCATTCCACGACAAATGTACAAACCTGCAAATTAAACAAGTACATAATTTACACTATAATATAGTATAGTATACAAAATATATACTTACATAATATTTTAATTTAGTGCACAGAATAATGGTGGTGTCCTGTACACTCAAACTTTGCAGATTTAGTCAATAAAGTCAAGCCAATTACTTTTGAAGATGTAAGTATGTAACTTTGATTAAACGAGCTAAAGCTCGCTTTGCCTACTGCAGGGCCAATGGAGAGACGGTAATATTTTGTTGGTGCATGATTCAATGTTAAACAGACAATAATGAACAATCTTCTATTACAGGTTTGATGTTGCACTCAAGATAGAAAACGCAATACTCAACCAAACACCTATGTCTTGCTGCCATCTTGTTGGCCAACATCAATACCTAGTGACATGGATAAATTAAATGAAGGATTTTCAAAACTTTAAAACTGTACTACAACTAATGACTATAACTAAAAAAAAAAAAGGTACACTTTTCCCAAAGATTACGAGGTGGATTGGTGATGCTGTCACGATTTAGTCTTTATGTCATATTATATTAATTTAATACCCTGATTCAATATTAGTAGTATAGTAACTATCCATATAATATGATGCGAGTGACTATTTGTTTTAAATATTAATGTTGCAATAAAATAATATTTGGTGTTTGTCTTTAACTGCAGGTACTTCTGAAGTTCTGAACACCGAGTTACAATATTATTTGACAAAAAAGATTACTTATAAAACATTTTACAGAATATTTTTATTTTTTATTTTTTTTTCATTAATTGGGTGGTTTTTAACTGTGGGGGAGGGTACTGTAGGTTTTGTAAACAAGTGTGTTTTAGTTTGGCAGAATTGTCAAGTGGGCACCCATAGGTATCTATTATGCCCGGGTGGGGGATGGCTGCCTCTCTCCCAAGACACCGTGACTGCCCGAAGAGAAGTGCTGCCCGAGACCGAGGTTCGAACCGGCGACGTTATGCGTAGCAAACGGCGCCTTAGTCCGCTCGGTCACTCCGTCCCACCTTTACAGAATAATTTAATATTATAAGCTAAACATTTAATAAAAACGATAATTTTATTATTCTGTATAAATGATTGGTGCAATCAGATTGCAGTTCTCAAATCTGGTTAGTATAAATACTGGTTAGTATAGATAATTATTAGATATTGATAGTAAATAAGACAATATATAAAATTTAAAAAGAATTTTAATTGCATGATTGATATAAAGATAAATATAGGTACAGGTGGTCGCGTGAGGATATCCCCATTAGCCGTACAGAGAAACTTTCCGCCCGGATAAAAACAGGATTTTTGCCGTTTTACCTATAAACAAAAAAAAATATTAAAAACCATGAGATTGATGAAAATTAAATGTTGATAATTCAAAATTTTCACAAAAATAAACCCTATAAAATGGCTATCTTCAACTGTTTCAAAAATAAATTACTTTTTTACTTTTTTAACAAAAAATATAATTAAATTAAAAATAAAATATTTGTAGTCCTTGTCTCTGTGAGTCTAATAAAAAAACAGTTTTACCTATTTATTATCTCAGAAGATATCGCAATGGGTAAATCCTCGCGGGACAACCGCTGTAGAATAAACATAAATATTCATTTATGTAGGTACCTACTTAATAGTTACCTATTTATTAGTCTTGAAAAGTATAATGACTAATAAAAAGTCAATAATTGCATATCAGTTTTCCAAGTAAATTTTTCTCAATTTTTTACTTGAAGAATGTATACAGATTCCGGAACTATTGATGATATCAACAGGTTTATTTCTTTAAGTGTTTTAAACGACTTAATTGTTTACTAAGAACAATATTATTACTGTTTGGATGTTTGATGCTGTGAAATAACCAACAAGGATCAGAAGCAGAACCACAAAATTCGCTTCTTATCGTGTATAGTCCGCGTACCTATATTTCAATATTTCATATTACTATTATCGATTTAGGTTAAAATAATAAAATTTAACTTTTCAGTTTTCTGACTAGGAATTGATCATTATAATTATGTATAGACAAATAATATTTGATTTTTATTTATTTCCTATCGATTTTCTAGTTTATCATTTGTTTATTGCTAATTTTATTTTCCATGTTTAGAGTTCTAATCAATTAGTTTCCAAACATTTAGCACCTCCCTTAGTGTTATTATAATATTAATAGATAAAAACATTTGATTGATAGTAAATTATATTAATAATAAAGTATATTCAACATTTTTAATTAACATTATCTAAACTTAAGCTAACGAAACTTTTGCCTTAGTTTAGCAGCGAATGGCTCGATTAAGACTTGCCGCCCGACGACTACAACTTGCCGCACTTCAACTAAGGCTTGTCGTCCGTTTACCATGACTTGCCAGCCGTACACCACGACATGTCACAACGTTCGCCTAAACGCCTAACCGGCCTAGGGCTACTATTTGTCGACCGACGACTGTGACATGTTGACCGTTCACCACGACTTGTCGTCCAAAATAGCCAAACTACTTTGGGTGACAAATCATGTGGTGACAAGTCATGGTAAACGGTCGACATGTCGTGGTGTATGGCTGACAAGTCATGGTAAACGGACGACAAGTTTTTGTTGAAGTGCGGCAAGTCGTAGTTGTTGGGCGGCAAGTTATAGTTGTCGGTCGGCAGGTTGTAGTTGTCGGTCGACATGTCACGTTCGTCGGGCGGCAGGTTGTAGTTGTCGGTCGGCAAGTTGTAGTTGATGGTCGGCAAGTTGTAGTTGTCGGTCGACATGTCACGGTCGTCAGACGGCAGGTTGTAGTTGTCGGTCGGCAGGTTGTAGTTGTCGGTCGACAGGTTGTAGTTGTAGGGCGGCAGGTTGTAGTTGTCGGTCGACATCTCACGGTCGTCGGGCGGCAGGTTGTAGTTGTTGGTCGGCAAGTTGTAGTCGGAGGAGGGCATTCATCATCAGGCCACATATCTTCAACTACGATTCTGAAATTTCCTTCGTCGTTTGGCGTGCAGGTGGACGGCGTGCAGGTGGACGTCGTGCAGGTGGACGGAGTGGGATTTTCCATCACCGGCCACGAAGGCGGCACCTGTAGCGTGATGTGAAAAATGAATATTGGCGGTGGTGACGTGCACGGCGGCCGCTTCGAATTGTAGCATTCATGGTCCGTCCGCCGCTTTGAACTGTATTGTTCCTGGCCCATCCGCCGAATCGGGACCACCGTCACGTGATAAGCCGCCGCCGCCGCCGATGACAACAACGTACTGGCCTCCGAGGGCGGTGTGTACAGCCGGTGGTTCGTCCACGGCTTTATCATCCCCCGATTGACGACTTCGTTCCGTACGGTGGTGGAATGATCATCGCTGACCGATGCTGCAGTTTTGACAAGGAACTTCGCAGTGACGGGTGACGGCTTCATCATCCTCCGATTGACGAGTTCGTTCCGTATGGTGGTGGAATGATCAGCGCTGACCGATGCTGCAGTTGTGTCACGGAACTTCGCAGGGACGGGCTTGGCGTCCGACGATGGCGATACCGCGAGGACTGCGGCCCACACGAACAACGATACCACACACATATCGTGGTTGCAAAAACGCATAATATAAATAATGAATGCACAATAATTTAATATGGTCACTAGAGAAAAATATTGTAGTAGGTAGGTACGATATATAAATATCATGCGAAAGTGCAGCGAATCGTACTGGAAAACTGTTATTTTATAATAAATTCGATCGTGAAAGTTTTTTGCCGAGTATCTATTTATCGTTATTGAAACGCGAGAATAAACTGTTTGGCCAGAAAGTAAAAATTATAATCGTTCATGGTTATATTTATCTACTTTGGACGACCGACTGACTGCTTTTCGGGGGTGTATTATGCCAAACAATGGCATGGATGACAATGATATTAATATCACTATAAATTTAATATATTATAGTGCCTCATCAATGAAATCATGCAACAGTCGCATCGATCAAAATATATTTTAATTAATATTATGCTATACATCATATATACATTTTTTGTACCCTGTGAAATAATATAATATAATGTAAATATACCTACCCAATCATATTATATAATATTCATTTGCAATACATAAAAACTAAAAAGTCAACTTCTTATACAAAACGCATTTATACAAGGAAAAGATCGCACTTCAGTACCTACGTCCTAACTATACTATGGAAACGAAAATAATATTTTAGGGAAGTAATGAAAGTAAAAGTTGTCCACATTTAAGGTACCTAGTACAATCTTACTTCCAAAAGCTCGAAAATGTAATACAATATACCATTGTCAATTATACCATATAATTTTTTTAGCTATCTAAAAATATTTAAAAAAATAAAATTTTTTCATAAGTGTTTGAAAACCAATTTTTGAAAACTCTCGTTCCTGAACATTGTAGGTACAAAATGTTTCGTAGTTAATTTTATAATTTATTTTGATTTATTTATATACCAATTTAGATTATAATCATTAATAAAAAATGCAATAAGTATTTAATAATAAATAATACATTATTTACTTAAAACTATTTTCTTTATTTAACCTTGGTTTTCCTATATAGAGAAATAACTATAATAAAAGGAATATTAATTTCAAAATATGTTATGCTTCTAAATCTAAACGTTTCGATTCTGAGCGAAGATGGACCGTCAGCCTAACTACGTAGGTACTACCGTCTACCGGGTTACTTGGGAGTTGGGACATACCTATGGCTAACTTAGGCGATATATTTTAAGAAACTTACTATTGTATCGTCTAACATCACTAATTTATCTTTTTCTTATCATTATCAATTTACGCACTAATACCATACCGTATACACACTAATACAAACGACTTGACTACTTACAGCCTTATAAATCAAGGTAAGTAATGTTTAATCATTTCATTAAGTATCATATCTTCGAATTAGGTTTAAGTCCTGTGCTTAAGTTAGTTGAACTATTAATAGTAGATTTGCATTTTAATAGTTAATTGAATGGTGAATATATCGTTAATACAATTTACCTTGTCATTACCTTAAAGTAATTTGTATACAATAATAGCCAATAGGTCTAGAAGTAAATACTAAATACGCATTTAACCAATTTTAGGGTAACTTTGGAAACGCCTATCCCATGCTTTACTACTGCCCCAAGTTAAATCTAATGTAAGTAATGTTACTTTAAATTCAATAAAATCAATAAAATAACACATTTAATAATATAAAATTTTTTAAAAATATTTAAAAACCGTCCCAAGATAACCTCTTATGAGTCTAACATGAAATTTGTATACATTTAATATGACTGTCCTAAGTAATACACCTTGGAGTGCAACAAGGGGCACCAAACTTTTTTTTAAAAAAAGGTAATCAAGCAAAAAAAATTTTAATTTAAGTACCTATTAATCAATATTAAATGTGGCAATCTTTTATCTTCTTAGTCATTTTTTCATCAGACCAATATTTTTAGCTTGAGCTATAAATGAAAATGAAAAAAGTCCAAGTAGCCAGGTTTTAAGGTATATTTTATATTATAATTACCTACTATTAAAGTAATTTATTTTATTACCTATTGGCTATTAGTATTTAGTAATACAGTAGGTTTAATTATGATTTGCTGAAAACATTGCATTTGGAAATTTCATTGTGTATGTGTGTGTTTAAAATATCATAAAATACCTACTTTAAATATTTCAAGTACTTAGTACCCACAAATAATATTTTTAAATTACAAAACAATAACCGAAATTGTTATTATTCGTTAAAGTATCTAATTTTGTCCAAATTTGAACTTAAAATATCTATAAAAAACTGTATATGTATATAATTTTTATGTTTATTGATAACTGTATGAAATACTTATGGAAAACCTTGTTTTACATTTTCAATCCTTGGCTGTAGAAATTAAAAATTTTATAATTTGCACATTTTCATGATTTTAATGCATATATTATAAAAATTTAAACTTTAAATGATAATAAAAAAAGATAGTACCTATGTATCTTTAATATTTTTGAACTGCTGCATAACTATTATAATTATTTTCACGCAACTTATGATGAACATAATATGATATAGAAAAAAATTTCAAAATTTCAAATATCTGTATAGGTTAGGTTAGGTAAAAATGTTTTTTTAATTACCTACACCATGTATAGAAAATGTTAATGTAAACATCTAGAGAAAATTTGAAGTTTATATTAGTATATGGGTCAATCGTTTTTGAAGTATGAAAAAATAAGAAAATTGGTCAATGAGAAAATTAAGGGTGAATATTTAAGGAGGGAAAAATTTGAAATTCAAACGCTCATGAAAAATTAATGTGACTTTCCGGTAAACTTTTTATTTTCAGAGAAAGAAATATGTATGTGAATCTTCTATTAAATGTTCAAATCAAATCTCTGATATAAAGAGAAATTTTTTTATGCGTTTCTAACTCGAAATAGTTTGCATATTTTCGAGATTTTGACAAATTTTGTCACAATTATAAGCTTGAACTTGAAATGCATAAATAAATTTTGTGACAATGTATTTTGACATTTTTTAATTGGTATATGAACAAGTTGTGAGGAACCTTGTATTAAATGTTCAATCTTTTTGACTAAGTGAAAAATTTTTTATCAATACTAGGTAAATGTTATAAATTGTATAGAAAAAATGTCTATTGTCTATAAATAGTTCAAAAAGAGTAAATATATTTTTAAAATTTTATCTTGTATGGGATATTCAAAATGGTCGTATTAACATTTGGTGAAAATTTAAATTATCCACGGTCAGGGCCTGATCAACCAATAGGCTAAGTAGGCTACAGCCTAGGGCGCCAAGCGTTTTGGGGGCGCCACAAAATTTTTTTTACGAATGTAGAATTTTTGCATAATATATACTTTAAAAAAAAAAAATTATATTTTCGTTATTACACGTTCAATGCCGCGGCCTATTCGGCGTGCCGTTACCGCGTCGCCGCAACGAATTTCCGCCCGGTCGACTATTGTAATATACTAATATATTACGTTATTTGTCATATTATACCTATTTCTTGTAATCGTCGCGGGCTTATCGCACCGACGACCGAGCGATCCCACATCCACTAATATTATATATAAGACTTTTGAGTCATTTAAAATCCTTGAAGATAGAGTCACTATTTCCAAATGTTGAAGTGGCTCTAAGAATATATTTGAGAATGGCCGTCACAAATTGTAGCGGAGAAAGATCTTTTTCTGCTCTAGGGCGGGTGAAAAACATTTTAAGATCCACTTTACGCCAGGATAAAATGAAGGCCCTTGCACTTTTGTTTATTGAAAGTGAATTCATGAACAATATTTCTTTCGATGAAATAGTAGAGTCTTTCGCAGCGTTAAAATCAAAGAAAAAACTTTTTTAAATGAATAATATTTAGTTCAATCATAAATTAAAAATGTTGACTAACCATTAAATGTATCAACTCTATAAGACTCAAACTTTGTTCAATTCGTTATTTAATATTCAGTGTATGGTGTTCAAAATTTATCTTAACTTTTCCGTTGCCCGGAATAAAAATTCTGATTCCCAGCAGTACCTACTACCTACCTATATATTATCAGGTAGGCAATCTACCTGCGGTCTGATGTTTGTACGTAACTTTATAATTTAATTCTAAAGTATCAAAGTTATACCAAGTATGTTACTGAACTCCTCCTAAACGGTTGGACTAATTGTGAATGCCGAGTCTATCGACCAATAATTTCTCCTCGTCCACGAATACGTGGAATCGTGATTGTTTTATGTAGGTACCATGTACGTAACTTATATGTGTGTTTAATACGCTTAATATTTAAGTAATTGTGATACATAACACAGAGTAGAAAAAAATTAAATGTATTGAATGAATACACTGATTTCATAGCAACCAATAATTATTATTATAATAGTTTTAAAACCATTTATAAACAAAAATTTCCACCGTAAATATCT